CGGCACACTAGTGTGCCGCGGCACAGTGGTTGAAAAACACTGTGCTAGATAATATCTCTCAACATACAGCCAAGAGTTAGTCTCAATTTGTTCGGATCAATGATAAGATTGATAAATTCAAAGATTTTATCAATACAGTGAGGCGAGTCCTTTTGGACTTTCCCAAGCACCTTAGTTGTTTTGTACGAATGTAATTAAATCTGCTGGTGCCCCTGAACAGTTTCAAAACAACACCAAAATATTCTACTCTTAGAACAATACAAATGTGATCCCTACACTAATTTATAAAAATGAAAGCTATGTAGCCAACCTTGGTTTAGGCCTATTTGAAGCCCTGTGTGCTTTCTTGCTCAATATTTAAAAGATAAATGAGCCTGGCACTCACGGGGTTTGAAAGGCGACCGCTTAGGTGGACGTCTCTCTTCACCTTTCATAGATCGTTTCTTTCCTTTAGACTTGTTGCTTAAATCGAAAAAAAATTGGCTAGCAGGCTCCTCCTTTGGAAGCAAGGGAAAATAATTAGTTAGAGCAGAGGGCACATCTAGAAAAGATTTGTTTTCATGTGTATTTCAGCTTGACACGTTACACATCTGGATTAAAGCTCTTTTTGAAAAGCAGCTGGAACATGTATAGTCCCTAATACAAAATAAACAAATGTATGTGCATGCGCACATACAAATACATGTATGAGTGTGAAATAAAAGAATGAGCGTAGGTTTTTTTTTTATTTCTAAGGAATGTTATAAACCCTGAATTTTTAGGAAATTTGGAAAATTGCCTTGGATCAACTAACTAATCAAACAATGATGGAAAATTAGTGCTACGTGGAAGAAAGAAAATGGAGAAGTGTGTCTGGTTTCTGCTGATGCATCCGCAGCCATAGATCTACTCCAAATGTCACATAGTCCTAAAAATGTCCAGCAGAAGAGGCCTGACTCATTAAAAAAGGTGTACACTTCTAAGAGGATTATACCAGAACTGGAACCCATTCATCAGAGGCAGTGTGTAGCTATACCAGGCCATCCAAAACAGTGTTACAAGTTCAGCAAGGCTAAGGGATTGGAAAATATGAATACTGAATCCCTCTACCTTTGCATCTGGTAACTGATATGCAAAATTTTCTCCATCCCCAGGCTTTCGGTATGGGTTCTCGGTGGTATCTTGGGGCTGCTTGATGAGTTCTGCAGGATCCACCAAATTCATTGGAAGAATGCTGAACGCGTAGAGATACTGAGAGAAAGAAATCACAAAATAAATAAATAAATAAATAAAAAATAGAGCCAAAGCAGAAAACCTGCAGGATACTGTTTAATGTTTAAGCTCTTTCTAAGAATAGACGATCAAAGTATGTATTTTCTCAGCCAAACAATGAAAACATGTGTTATAACAAAGTTACAAGAGATGTAGACACACATACATGAATGAATGAATGAATGAATGAATGAATGA